AACATAAGAATACAACACATTCTCATTTTAACTCCAAAAGATAAATCTATTTAAGACGGTAAATCTATATACTTTGGAATTCTCCCATTTCTGCCAGTTAATAAATGGGCTTTATTTGGGATCATTAAACAATCACTGTGATCAGTGGAGCTCGGAGGCTTATCCTAAGCGTTGTCCTTCCTGTGCTGCGTAACCCACTGCTGTGTTCAGCCTTTGGTTTACGGGTTAATCAAGGGCAGTCCCACAAAGGAGCGTTTATCTGCCAGGAACTCAGACGCTGGACATTAGAGCGTTTGATGGGACGCTGGAAATTCGATCCCTTGGCTCCTACACACGCTCGTGGCCTTTGTAGTCCTTCCAGACACGTGACATTAATGCTAAGGTGTTCTGCACTTTTCATATGCTTTGTAAGAGGGCAGTACCCTCAGTACACTGAGCCTGAGAGACACAAACTGACCCTGCGGGGTCCTTTGAGCTCAGCCCCTGCAGGATTGCTGGCAGCAGCTCGCAGGCAAGCTAAGGAAGTGGCCAGCACTTTGGCGGGTTTTAGCGATGGGGCTGGGGAGCAGGCCTGCAGCGGTGAAGGGGGAAGTGGCCAGCACTTTGGCGGGTTTTAGCGATGGGGCTGGGGAGCAGGCCTGCAGCGGTGAAGGGGGAAGTGGCCAGCACTTTGGCGGGTTTTAGCGATGGGGCTGGGGAGCAGGCCTGCAGCGGTGAAGGGGGAAGTGGCCAGCACTTTGGCGGGTTTTAGCGATGGGGCTGGGGAGCAGGCCTGCAGCGGTGAAGGGGGAAGTGGCCAGCACTTTGGCGGGTTTTAGCGATGGGGCTGGGGAGCAGGCCTGCAGCGGTGAAGGGGGAAGGAGAGGCGGACAGGATTAGCTACCTGTCCCTTCAACAAGCCCCAATTTGCCATAAATAGTAGCCAGGCAGAGAAAATGGTTTATCTGACCTTTGATGTGGACAAAAAGATAGAGAGGAGACAGAGTCAGGCAACTGCAGAATTTCACACATGTACACTGTCTATAGGACAGCCCAGAACACACCCATAAACAGGGAGTACCTTTGCCTTATATGCAAATGTCCTTGTCAATATCTCTTCTAATCTGTCAGCAGACTCAGCACACATGCATACACACACACAAACACATACACACACACGCACAAATGCTTGTTTAGAAATTTATGACACAAAAGAGTGTGTGTGTGTGTGTGTGAGAGAGAGAGAGAGAGAGAGATGTCAGGAGAGCCCCTTAGGATCCTGAAGGTGCAGTATTCAAACCCAGTCAGGGGGTGTGTGTGACGTACATTTTGATTCTGCGAACCAACATTTTGAGCTCTTGTATGTACTACATTACTAAGAACTTCATTAGATTGTGTAATAAAGAGAAATGATAAGGATACAAAAACATATGGACACCAGCTCATCCAGCATGTCATTCTGAAACCAGGATAATGCTCTCTGCTCAGGGAGCTCTGCCCGTTAGCTGCTGGTGGGATGTGATGCCATTGGGCCTGGTACTGGTGTTGGGTGATCAGGGCCCTTGCCGTGAGGTTGTGTGGCCTGCCACTTCCCTCCCAAACGTTTCCACTTCACTTCACATCACTTCATTTGCGGTTGACCAAAGCAGCTGTAGAAGGGCTGAAATTCGGCAATCTGGCTCACTGGAAAGATGGCGTCCTTCATCTCCTGTGCCACTGTTTGTTGATGGCAATCACATGGCCGTATGTTAAATCGCACATCTGTGTTAGCAACAAATGTGGCTTAATTAGCCAATTCCTTTAATAAATAGGACTATCCATATACTTTTGGCCATATGGCATAAGTGAAGTCAAAATCCCTAATTTGAGAAATGTAGCCACAGCTAGGGGTAAATTACTGGCACCTGGTGGCCAATGAGAGATGCCACCATAATGGCAACAACAATGCCCTCTTACTGAAATAAACAGAATTTTTAAAGCAGGAGTTTTCAAAATATTCACATACAAAATGGTATTGCCATGTGTCAAAATCAGAAATATTATATGATGCAATGTATTTTTATTTGTAATACACTAGTGCAATGATTGTGAAAGATCCATTCATCCATCCATCTGTCTATCCACTGACCTTTAAATGGTTTCTCTTACTTAGGATAATATGTATGTTGCATAAATCATACATGAAGGCCTGACCAAAATATACCTATATTCATGAGATTTACAATAATATAACAATAAAACAACGTCCTTATTGGCTACCTAGTTTGTAAGATCCCACCTTTAGGGGTGAGGTGACATCATCAGGGTGCTGAGCGTGATGTTGTACTCATGAACGAATGGTCATTGGTGGAAGATAAAGCATCGAGGTACGGAACACTGCAGCACAAGCGAGCAGGTGAGGAATATTACAGCTGTGCACCGCAGACAGACGAAAGGAAACGTAACCCAGGATTGACATGCCTTTCTCTTAATGGCCGCTCTTTCTCACTCTCTGTGATGCATGTTGTCCCAAAGTCTTTGTCTCTCCTTCCTCCTCCTCCTCCTCCTCTTCTGTGCCATCGGTGTCGTCGACATGGTGGGGGGGGGGGGGAACCGAAGCCTTACTTAGTGTCACCACAGTATCCTGGCGAAGCATCTGTAGTTGGCTGATAGAGGCGATGCGGGAGGACTGGGCCGCCTGTACCGTCCCCGGCCGGAAGCCCAGGACTGACAGCAGTTACCCAGCACATCCCCTGAGTACAGACACACACACCTAGGGAATGGAAGGCAGCTGCTGTGGCCCATGTGACCTGCTGTTTCAACACTCCTGCCAGGCCAGATGAACGGCATGAGAGCCCAACTGCAGCCTGTCCTCGGGTTCCGGCTTCCGCAGGGGGAGCGCATTTCAGCGGTTTCTCCCAGACCCGTTCATCAGCAGCGATAAAGTCGGGGCAAAACACTCCACACGTGTCAGTCTCCTGGCTGCTTCAGCAATATCTACTGAACTGGAAGAAGGGGACAACTGACAGACCAAATACAGACAGCCGGCTCACATCAACATTTCTGCTTTGTCATTCATTAACGTCACACATTTATGAGTACTAAAAGATCAATACAAACTAAATATTGTCAAAAATACTGTTCATTCTAGACTAACTTCTAAATGTTCTCTTTCTTTTCATGAAGTAGGCCTTCATACAAAGCCTGTACCAGATTGAAAAGAGGACAGTTAATTGTAACAGATCTTGACCTACAGGTGGCACTGTTGGGTAAGAAATATATCTCGCAGCTGAGACTTGATTCTGGAATGCACAAGTTTAATATGGTGAGTTTTCATGACAAATTAATGTGAACATTTCAAAACTGTAAATGTACTCTTTCAAATCTTTCAGAATAGCAACTACTGTTACAAAATAAAGTAAAACTTTTGTGAAATATTGTTGTTTGTATAAACTTTTTTGCTTGATTTTCCCTGTGCATTGGATCTTCTCTGTTTGAGTGATTTCATGCCATATCGTGTTTTTTTCTTTTCAGTTTGTAACTTAATGCACCTTGAGTTTGTAAACAAAACTACTACACTGAACAGGGTAATGCTATTGCATTAAGCATCTGGCTTGTAAAACCAAATCCTAACAGTAGGAAGACCTGCCACAAACAGGCTTGAGTAACCAAGAATCCTAGACCCCATGGATTATACAATATGTCAGAGTCATGTGGTAGCTAGTTTATATGTGTTGTAATTGTAATTCCACATTGCATCCTGCTTATTTGAGGAGCGAACCAATGAGATAAAAAAACGGGGGAAGGTGGAGGAGAGCTCAAAATCAGAAAGAGGAAGGGAGCTCTGTGGCTGCCACAATGTCAGAAAAAAACATACCAATCTGTACCTCTGCTTGTCACTGGGTCTGTGCCCTCAAGGATCTGCCAGTTGTACCCTTAGATAGAGATGGCCAAATGAAGCATCTTCATTTCCTGTATTTTTGACCCCACTAAAGTGAGCCTTTTTTGGAATAGAGACCGCCATCTAGTGGTGTCAGAAATTACAGCAAATGGTTCATAAAGCTTCATTTGGCCATCACTACCCTTAGCTGTAGGTATTTGGACCTTTTAAGCTACAGAAATGGACTATGAGGAACATTTTTGTACCAATGGGGTTACATTGATATTGTTTCTACCTTGGGGATGTTCCTCCATTTCTGTACCTTATAGCAGACTAAAAGACATTTACCTACAGCTAGGGTACAATTGGCAGACCCTTGAGAGGGATGTTTCAAGTGTTTCAAGCAGGACCCAATGGCTGATAAGCTACAAGTCTTTCTTAAATGTGCGGGGGGGGAGGCTGGTTCTTTCACATCCTTACAACAGGTCTCGCAGATCACAGAAGGGACACATACCCAAATCTACACCCCTGAGCAGTTGTTGAACCCAGCACTGCATCTCTTAACTTCCATAAAACTGTATCTGGTTGATGTATAATAAGTCTGGTTGATGTATAATAAGTCTGGTTGATGTATAATAATTCTGGTTGATGTATAATAAGTATGTACATGTATAGGAAGATCCCCATACCTGTATGTTCTGCACATTCTGCAGTTTCATTTGGGAATATCTGCTATTTCAGTATGAGTGTAATAATGTCCGTGGCAGTATGAATGCTGCTATCATTTATGACCCTTTATGTATTTACATGACTATATGGTGTCATTAATCCACGGGCCATAAATAAATGACCATTTTCAGTGCACATACCCCAAAATCACACATACAGACAAAGGCTGGCATGCAGCACATGGGGAAAAGGTCCGTTACATTTGCCCCTCTCTGTTCGAAACCCTGCAGTGATCTATGGGATATATCTGCTAATTATACCATGGTTGCGGTTCTGCAGAGCTGAGCAAAATTCCGTTTGAACCGGAATTCATGAGCAGAAGTGTATCCTGATGTGGTAAGGAGTGTGACCTGAGATGAGACTTGTGTTGTAGGGGGGGTGGGGGGGGGCACTGTGTGGCTGGCGTGAAACTCTTAACTCCCTTGGTGGGCAGAAATGGAGGGGATAATAGGTCAGGGGTAGGTTTTGTGTCTTCCCAGACCTTTGTGATGGTCTGGGAAACACCATCTCCTAACTAAAATCAAGGCCTAGGTGAATATAAATGACAGATCAACATTGACAGAGAAACAGCTTCCATTTATGGAACACAGATTCCCAAACATACATTGGTTAATAAACACAAACATCCAGAATGCCCTTTCTCTCTCTCTAAAACAGAAACATGGAAGCTTTTCAGGAGCTGCCCTCTTTGGTTTATAAAATAAAAGCTTGTTTATACCTAAGAAACTTTCCTAAAAGTCTCTTTAGGTCATTTCTATACAATATTCGCATTCACATTTTGAGGGTCCAATCACCAAACTTCACAGAACATCTCCATTCCCTGGGATAACGTCCACCACCCGCCAGGAACCACGTGACACGTTTAATGCTATCAGAAATGCCCGGATCATTCCAACCATAAAATACTAAAATTCAGCCAGAGTGTGGATCTGAAGAAACGAAACACAGTGTATGCTGCGTGCTGCTGCCTAATCCCATGTTCAGCTGTCACCCATCTCCATTACGAGAGGCAAGAACAGACGAAAGTACAAGAAAACAGAAATGAAGGAGGGAGTATGTGGATGAGGCAGAATCTAATCCTCATATCAAAGGGGTTCCTAGCTGTGATACAGGCTGATGTCTCTACACTAATCTGCAAGCAGACATGCACAAGCACACACACACAAAAGGAAGAAATACAGATAGTCATTTTATGTACATTAAATATAGATACTGGGGCTCTGCAGAAGGGTTGGTGCTCCATCCTGGGTTGTTCCCTGCCTTGTCTCCAGCCACCACAAGAGGTCAGGAGTCTTTTACTAAAGAGCAGAGAAAACAGCGGCACTGTAAAGAACAGGAAGCTGCTCAGTGCCGCCTGCCATACACAGAGGAACATAGCAAACCTTCACACTCATTTCAGCATCACAATCCATATTTCAACCATGAAAATTATCTTTTAAAATCATTATTCTTACTCAGTTGCTATCTTGTAAAAACAACATATTATCTAAAAGTGCTCTTTCCTTGATCCTACAAACAACCACAGTTTGTGTGTTTGCATTCCTGTCTTGGAAGGCACTTCCTACTGAGTCCAATTTTGCTGTAATTAACTATTCCTAATCCCTAGCCTCCGAAATCAGAAGGAGATACAAAATAACATACTATTATACTGCTTCATTTTTGAGCAGGTGATGTGATGACATTTTTTTATTAAAGCCCTCACAATGTTAATTTATTAGATGTTGTTGTTTTTATGGAAACATTTTCTGAAAAATTGTTTTTACATACACACCCAGACCAACACTCATATACAAATTCAGACGCTTACACACAGACAGAAAGACACACACACATGTTTGTATCCACATCTTTGTGGGGACTGTCCTTTCATTTCTGTGGGAAAAACCCTAATCCCAACTATAACACCCTTAACCCCTACCCAGCCCTAACCTTAACCATAAGCAACCAAACAAAATACAAGACTTTTGGCATTTTTTAGTTTTTTGATTACTGTCAGAGATTGTCATAATATTGAGTTTCCCCTTGTGGGGACTGCAAAAATGGTCCCGACAAAGTCAAAATAAAAGATTTTTATCACATAGTGGGGATGTTTGGTTCCCGTAATATAATATATACATAACCCAAACAGACACACACACTCAAACACACACAGACAGACAGACACAGACAGACAGACAGACACAGGCACACACAGACTGACAGACAGAGACAGACAGACATACAGACACACACAGACAGACAGACAGACACACACACACAGACACCCAGACAGACACAGGCACACACAGACAGAAAGACAGACAGACAGACAGAGGCACACACAGACAGACAGACACAGGCACACACAGACAGACTGACAGACAGAGACAGACAGACATACAGACACACACAGACAGACACAGGCACACACAGACAGACACAGACAGACAGACACAGGCACACACAGACAGACACAGGCACACACAGACAGACACAGACAGACAGACAGATAGACAGACAGACAGACACAGGCACACACAGACAGACACAGACAGACAGACAGATAGACAGACAGACAGACACAGGCACAAACAGACAGACTGACAGA